AAATTTTTTAAAGAGTAGTATGCCAATTCTTCTTATAAATATACTATGAGCTGCAAACTATTAAGCTTTACTCCAAAGCATAGTTCATTTGGAAAAATTCATACTACATGTGTTTTTTTTGGCATTCTATAAGTAAAAGTTTATATTCTTACAAGAGTAGTATATTAGGCCTAGTAGTTATTCTTGCAATGAATTTCTTAATCTTGCATTGTTTTAAGATGATAGCTTGTTCATAGCTCAAATCTTAAACATTCAAAGATGTAATAATGATGAGTTCCATCATACTCTTAAGCTTACTTCAAAAGAGTGAGTGCTCTTTTTTTTCTATGACTTGATTTTGGTTATTTGATTGTATGTTAATTTTTAAGATAGTCATCGAGATTATGAAGTCAAATGAGAGGTCTTGAGGAGGATGTATGCCAAAGCAAAAATATATGCTATAGTTTTTTTTATTTATTTTTTATTTTTCATGCTTTACTCTGAATGAGTGGAGATGAAAGATTCTGGTATTCAATATGTTTGAAGATAGTATACTAGTAGTAGTTGTGATTTGTCTTCAATAAAAATTTTGCATTGTTATATTTAATGAAGACAACTATTATGTACAATATAATTATTCTTACAAATTAAAGCTATTCATAAATCTAATATACAATATCCCATTTTTGTATTATGTTCTTATGTTTTCTTTTCAATATGATCTTAAATTAGAGATATAACATGGTTTTGTTTACTAGATAAGTACATGCATCTTCTTGATTTTAGGTTTTCTTATTCAAAGGTTGTATTAAGTAGAATGAAATTGGTGGATTCATTTATAAATAAATAATAGAATTACATATTAATTGTCTAAGTTCTTATTGATTAGAATTAATACTATTTTTTCTAAAAATTAGTTATTTTGAAATTACAGTCTTTATTTAAAGGCTATTCGGAATGAATTGTAGATGTGTGTTGTGATGTATCCAATTGCTTCTTTTTGTAGTGAAGTCATTATATTGTCCTACATATTTTGTTTAATAGATTGCCACACAAAGCTTGAGGTTGTTGGTCTTGTTGTTGAATGTGATCTATGCAATTATAAGCCAAGAACATATTGTATAATTTGGTAGTTGAATCTTGAGTTGCTATTGAGAAGAATAGAGTCTTAGATTGCATTTGTTGGTATATTTTAGTTATTTTTTTATAGGCAATGTAATCTCTTGTATTTCTAAAAATAGAATTATAGTCCACATTATTGTAATTACAAAAAAAATATTATTTACATTGTGTAATAAATTTTTTGTATGATAATTTAGGTTTTTATTTAAAAGTCTTTTTTTGTTGATTTGAAAGATTTTGATTGATTTGAATAATATAGATATGTTTTTTGTGAATATCCACACCTATAGTCTGAAAATTTTGGAGCAATAAAATTCACCATTGTTGATCATCAAGATATCAAAGATTTATAAGAAAATATATTGTAGTTTTTTTTTTTTTTTTTTTTTTTTTTTTTTTTTTTTTTTCTCTCTTTTCTTTTATTACATATAGGAGTTCCAAGATTTGTATCCATAGCACTATTTTCATTTTTTTGTCAGATGGTATGAGATTCAATTTGTAGTATGGCATCTATGGATAGAAGCAAATTTCTTTGTTGTCCACCTTAAAGCTATATCTAGCTAGGATTTGTTTCATGCCTTTGATATGATTAAATTAGAATTTGATGTAATTGTTTTTGTGCATGGTTAAACATTTGAATAATGGTAAAATTTAATTTTATTCCATTTAATTAATTATTTTATCTATAAATTAAGATTCCTAATTAATTCTAAAATCATAAAATTTCCTAACTATTTTAACTTTTGTTGATGTTTAGATTTAAGTTCATTTGAAATTGTGAGCTTAATTGGTTTGGATGTTTCCAATATAAAATATTGTGTACAATGAATTGTCTCTATATATTAGAAAAATATTGATGAGTTCTACATGTTTGGTTTTGAAGCTTTTAAAGAATCATTCTAGTAATTTATATAAAATTAAAGGAAATTTAAAGAGATTTTTTTTTGATGAGTGTAGCAACATCATTTTTTTTGTTAATTGATGTTTAAGACCAAGAGAGCTATATTATTAAATTATTTCTTTTGTTTTTTACCTTCTACTATGTACTTATGTTTGGTGGAGTTGGAAGATGTACTAATTTGATTTTCTTCGATCTAAAAATGGTTCCAATGCTGTACTAGGCATGTTTGTAGGTTGAATTTGAATCTTTGTGTATCTTAGATTTATAGTATCAAGGTCGCCATGTGATTTTGTTGGCACAATGCTCCCTTCAACATTGATGATTTGAAGTAGTGTCCATATACTTGTTGCATCGTCACCAATTAGTTGAAAATTTATCTAGTGGCCAAAGATCTTGACTCTTCTCTTCAATGCTTGTGTTGATCTTCTTTTCCATTGAGATGAATTTGTGTTCTTCAAGTTTTGGTTCTCATTGGTACTTGATGTGAGTTAGGAGTTTTTTTCTTCTAATTGGAATTTCTTTATCTGATATTTTTATGAGTGGCTATATAAGTGGTATTTGGATATATTTGAATTTACTCTAGTTATTGAATATTCTACACTACAACTTTCTTGTCGTGCATCAAATTCTTAGACAATGCCATTATCACTACTATTTGTGCTTTAAATCTACCAACTACCATGTTATAGTCTTTATTTGTCTAAATTAAACAAAATTTAGTGCATTATATTTTCTTAAAGATGTAGAATGTTAAATTAGCAATCATGTTATGGAAATCAAAAGAATCAATCACTATAAAGTATTCTTAAATAAATGGATTTAATGCATTTGCATCTTTTGTCTTTCTTGAATTCAATTTATAATAGAGGGTGCTATCTTTGTAGATATGGATACTACTAAAGACCATCTATTTGTGATGTCAACCTGCTCTTAGGAACAAACTTGTATATGTAAAAAAGTTTCAAATGTTTTCATGAAAAAGAATTTGTGAGTATAGTTTAACAAATATTCTTTCAAAAGACCAATTACTCCTTGTATATGGGATTTTTTTTGTATATTATATAAAATAACATAGCAGTCTTTTTAAATATTTTTATTATTTTAGATGGTTAAAAAAATTATATTTTTTTTTATAAATTCCAATGTTCTTAAGACATTACAAAATAAAGTTGAAAGTGTGAAAGTAAATACAATATAAAAATAGTTCTTCGTTTATAATATTTCTTTGCAACCATTATAGAAGAATGCATAGGTATTATTGATGTCTAAAAAAAGTAATTTATTTATTTATTTATTTTTATTTGATAAGATGTTTGTTGATATATTCTTAAGATGAGACTTTTATGATATATTTTTAGAAGAAATAACATGTTTTGCAAAATATTGTAAGGTGGTCTAAAGTGTAATTCAATTTTTTTTAATGGATTAATTATATAATGGTAAAAAATGTTTAAGTCTAATATTTTTATTTTTTTTCTAAAATATACTATAAAAATCTATATATTGTTTTAAGAAGTTATTATAAGCTTCACCAAAGAAGAGTTAGGTGTTTAATAAAAGATTAACAAATCTCTATTTTTTGTAGTTTGGAAAAATATTCTTTCTTTAATAAATAAAGGTTTTATTTTTCTAAGCATAAGAATTAATATACATTTTTAGTTTTTAAGGTAATTCCAAAGAAAAATTACTACTATAAGATCTCTAGTTTGTTTTAAGATTATATGTTTTTAAGGAATTAGTTTTATTCTATAGAATTGAAAGTTTGAAAGATTGTTTAAAATATTAAATAAAAGAATATTTATTTTAATTTTTCTAATCATGTAAAACTAAAAAAATTATGGAATTCAGAAATTTTAAAATTAATTCATCAATTGATTATTTATTTGAAACATTAGAAATCCATTATCTCCATGCCAGGTGTTTTCTTCAAGAAGAGTTGAACATTTCATAGCTAAGATTTGAACCACCAACCTATTCACATTTATAAAGATCATTGTAGCCCAAAAGTTAAAAACAACTTTAGAGAACAAGTTTAGAGAACAAGTCTTTAGATAATTCCATGTAGAATTGTCCAGACAGATGCACACAATTGAAGTTATTATCAATCATGTCAAATTATTATTATTATTATTATTGAATGTGAGTTACTTGGTGGCATTGGAGGAACAAGAGGGGTAATAGAGGGGAAATTAGGGCTTGGGGGGGGGGGGGGGGGGAGGGGTTGTGTATCTGAGGCGCGATGTGCGTACGAGATGGAGCAGAAGAGGATGACGATGATGATGTCGCATTGCTGCAGATGCTGCACCGCAGAGAGACGAAACCTCGAGCAATGCTGCTGCTGCTGTCCCACGCTCTTCCTTCCTTCGCACAGCAGGACACGAGAGAGAGAGAGGGAGAGAGCTTCAAATCCAGCATTAAGGTGACCAGCAGTGCCGAGTAAAGCGTATTGCCGAGACATTAGAGGAATTCCTTCCACGTCGACAAGCATCGGCTTCTGTAAGATGCGACATGCCGGGACCGAGGCGTAGTTCCGTGATTACTTCTGGTGCTTTTGGCCGGAAGTTGCTTTTTTTTGTGGATTTCCATGGGCTGTGATAATTCCCCTAGTGCTTCTCCGACCCGATTTGTGAGAACTGTGCATGACGTCGTGTTGTAGTCGGAGAGGTGTACTGTTTGTAAAATTATGGAGAGAGAGAGAGATAGAGAGAGAGCGAGAGAGAGAGAGAGAGAGAGGGATTTCCTTTGTCTCGAGCACACTGTGGTGATTCTGGCTTGATCGTACAGTAACCTCTTGTTTAGTCACTTTCTAGTTAACAATCGAGCGTATTTTTGTGATGAGTGCACGTTAGTCAAGATGCAGACAGTGCTCGTGGCATTACAGCATCGTCAGGCGCTCTGCCTTCGTTTGTCGTTTCACCAGCTTAGCCAACCTGCGTGTTGCATTGCTAGTCGCAGCGGCGGGTGCGTGAGTAACTCGCTCGCGAGAGCTCTATCTTCATTTTCTGGTAATCAATTTGTTTCTTTCGTCTATCGCGAGTCCCTGATTTTGCCATGTCTGAGCAGGGTTAGTTTCTTAGAGCTCTCAGGGTTCCTTTCTTGGACGGTCCTCGAAGTTTGGGAGCTATCTGAAGGTTCCCGACTGTGGCGCTGTGTAATTGAGGTTCCAATGTCGCTTACGTTCACCTGCGCTGGCATGTACAGTATTCATAGCTAAATTTTATTGTGGCCCGCACCAGTCTGCGCGCTGTACAGCATGGGATACAATTAGCGTTTGTTCTCTCTAACGATTGTAGTAATAAACGTCGTGTTATTGAGTCGTAGCCCGTGTCTGGAAAATCTGCTGTGTGCTGATGCACCAATTAGAAGTACTTGTGACGGGCCTTCGTAGCTGAAGACGAGCGAACAGCAAGCTGCTTGGGTTGTCTTGTATCCTGTAGGATTGCATTCGTTATTTTGGGACTTTCAGTTGCAGAATAGCGTTGATATTGTCCCAACCTCTGTATTTTAAGACAAGATAGGCCCAGATGGTTTCAGGTGTGCATCAAAACTTTGAGTCCCTGCTCTTTAAGTCTTAAAATGATGATTGCGTTTGGGCTTGAGATTTTCAACACCCGGGAAAACAGATATTGATCGCCACTGTTTGCGAACTCCTGGAGTTGAAAGCTCTCATTAGACATGTAGCTATCCTTTTGCTAGTGGCAACCTTGTCTTCAAAGCTAACGTCTCTGGCCAATTTTCTGCTGTTCTTAAAATTGCAGTTCGAGTTGTTCTTTTTCAGTGGTTCAAGTTACAGATTTCTTTGCAGAATGTTCTGACCGTGACGTTTAGCCGAGTGTGATCAGCGCATGGCTGCGTTCTTACTATCACGATTCTTTCATACTCTATTCCTAATTGATACTTTGCGTAAGGTGTTCACTGAACAAAGTAGTCGTTTCTCCATTCCTCACCGGTGCTGAATCGTCCGTTTCATTTCCTGAGGGCCTTTTTCTGTAGTAATATTGTGCTGTGGCGTTTTTGTGTCAGCACACATAAACGAAGGCATGGAGGTATTGAAGTTGGAAAAGAAGCTTGATTCTTCCCAATCTCAAAATGCCATAGCAATATCTGCTGGGCAAAAGAACTACAGCTATGGACACTTGCTACAATCAGCGTTTCAGATCTCAAAGATGATGCATCATGGGGAAGGCGTTAAATCAACTAAATCAAATGGAACAGTCGTCGGTAGTGAGGTACAAGAACTCTGAAGAATTATAGCTGCTTCCAATTGTCAAGATCGTTAAATGTTACAATTTGTTTAGTTGTCTAGAAGTTCGTCGGACATTTAGATGCAGGCGATCGTCTTGAAGTCGTGTATTGAGATTGATAAAAATCTTAAATTTAGCCAATTTCAACCGGCACATTGTTCTTCTGTCCTTAATATCCGCACAAAAATTATGGTGCTTCTAAATGCTTGACATACATAGTGTGGAAATTACTCAACTTTCTACCGTAACCTGGTCCTTTATGTTGACATTGAAATAAATATTAGGTTGCACTAATAACCGATGCATTACTTTCTGATTCGGTTTCTTGAGCTATCAAATTTTGGTCGCTATGGTGCGCATTCTAGAAGTACGCAATTACATTTGTTGACACGCATGTTCCATGTGACCTTCAGGATTTGATAAGATTACGTGGGACGCGAGTGGGCATTATGGCGAAGCCGTCTGCGGAATTCGTTGCCAGCATGTGGGCAGTTTGGTTGAATGGAGCCGTTGCAGTTCCTTTGGCTCTTAGCTATCCCGAGGCGGAACTTGTCTACATTTTAACTGACGCGGTGTGACGACTGTGTACAAATTTGACGATATGATGCTTGACAGTCATTGTAATGGTGTTAGATTGCTTGAACTAGTTCTTCAAGCCCTTTGTCTTGTGCTGGGACATTTCAATTCACCATCATATTACCTCACTGACTGTCATGAGTGAATATATGCTGTTTTGTATGCCCATCTGCTCACGGCCTAAATTTTTTAACCATTCGCTTATTGCAATTTTTGTACAAGTGCTTACAGTCTCCTGTTTACCAAGATTCAATATTGCAAATCAATGTGTTTGAAAAAGTTACTCAATAATACGAATTGTGTCGAAATATGCATCTATCGCCTTCGGACTACTGTTGAAGGCTGTCTCTGCTTGATGCATTTTTTAGCAGTTAGTATTGATGCTAATTAGGTGTTGTCTCGCAGGACGTTTCTGCTGTTGCGTCCACTGAAGAGTTTCGAGATCAGTTGGAAGGAGTGGCTAAGAAGTGCTCTGCAGACTATCTTGTTCTTCCAGAAGTGTCCTGTGTTGGAGATACTTCCCAGCAGGAAAATCTAACATTCGAGGATATGTTAGCAGAAATTGATAAGGCCTCGTCCGAACTTGAAGGTATATAACTTCTGCTATGTTTTCGGCATGAGGTAATTTTACTGAACAGTAAGACATTTCCTACAGCGAACTTGTGACCTGTATTTGAAAAAGATTCACTTTTATTATGAACCGTGATTATTGTAGGTGCTAACCCAGCTCTGATTATCTATACAAGTGGAACTACTGGAAAACCAAAGGGTGTTGTTCATACTCACGCCAGCATAGGAGCTCAGGTAGGTCAAAATGCTGTCCAGAAGTACGTGCCATTTATGTAGCCTGTAGATGTTTGTTACAATATGTGCTTTCTTTTCAAAGTTTCGAAATACAATGACTGAAAGTATCCTATGCACTGTTTTCAGGTCCGCATGTTGGCAGAGGCTTGGGAGTACACTAATTCGGATCGATTCCTTCATTGCCTACCCTTGCATCATATCCTCTAGACCGTGAATCTTGCGCATTCAAAGTTCAACCGCTGATATACTTGTTACTACAGTCTTTAGCAGCTATTATGATTCTCCTTGACTTCAAATAGAGTTCACATGTGCATGGGGTTTTCAATGCGTTGCTTGCACCACTTTTCGTGGGAGCCTCGGTACAAACCTCTTACACACTTCTCTCAGACATTTCCCTTTTGGATCATTTTGGATCATTTTAGATCGAGTTCACTTAAGATGGATCTTTGTACAAAAAGAATATTTAATCAGTATTTTTTACCACAAAGATCGAACCTTTTCTTACTTTGAGATTGTGGACATTGTGAAGGTGGAATTCCTGCCCAAGTTCAGTGTTAGTGGAATTTGGAATCGATGGAAAGATTCATATCCGAGGGAAGGTGTGAGAGGTCATCTTTCAACAACAGTTTTCACTGGGGTATGCTTTCATGCTATCTGATGTAAAATACTTATTCTATGGAAGGTGTTTGACAAGAGTTCACATCTTTCTCGTGTTCCGACAGCCCAAACTTCTGGGGAGCTTCGGATGGAATGTGAGTCCAGTGACTCCCATGCACACTGCTGCGTTAGCAAACGTATTCTGCTCGGTTAGCTTATCCTGCTTCTCGTGTTTACAGGTTCCAACTATGTACACGCGGTTACTGCAAGGATATGATGCGATGGATGCCGATTCTCAGAAAGCATGTTCTTACGCAGCCAGACAACTCCGCCTGATGGTGATCACGGACCTAATTGCTCCTCTATTAACATCGTCATGTCTGGCAAACGTTATTGGTATGTAATAGAGTTGTTTGGTTGAGTTATTGCTAACATTTTCGTTGTGATGTATGCAGATGTGTGGGTCATCAGCACTACCAGAACCAATCATGGAAAAGTGGGAGAGAGTGACTGGCCATCGCCTTCTGGAGAGATATGGGATGACTGAGGTATGCGACTTAACATTATCGTAATGAGGTCGATGTTCACTCTTAGCTGTCCCTGTTTAGTACGTTCCATTTGGTCATGGAAAAGTTTTTATCAAGCTATCATGCACAATGGTTCCTAAGCTCATCGTAACGACAGAGGATTCTAGATTTGTGACGGCTAAGACCAACTAGTAAATCTCACTATTAACTCGTTCCATGTTTGCAGTTCGTTATGGCCCTGTCCAACCCTTTGAATGGGGAACGAAGGGCAGGTTTTGTAGGAATGCCTCTTCCAGGGGTACAGGTACCTCTTTTCTTACTGAGCCTCCGAATTGGGATGTAGAAAGAAGTATATGATTTAAGAAAAAATCTCATTACGTCTCTAACGACAGTTGTCAGGTCATGGGATAATTGTGTCGAGTTAAGGAGCGTACATAAATATCTAATTTCAGTGTTGCATTCGCAGATGCTGATTGCGGAAGAGGGACGCGAAGAGGCAGATGTCGGAGAACTCTGCATCAAAAGCCCTGCCATGTTCCAAGAGTATTGGCGAAAGCCAAAGGTATTAAACAACTTTGATTTCTTAGTATTTGTTGTGTTCGTTGTTATGCTCCTATTGCTTCTTCTGTGTAAGGACATATTCGTATCTGCTTACTACACTTTTTATTTTTATTTTTAAATGAAGCAAAGTTTAGCATGCTTGTATATGCTGTCATAAGCAAATAAGTTTCTTTTCTGAAAACCATCGTATAGGCCTAAAAGTATGACATAATTTCTCCAGGTGACTAGTGAATCTTTCAGAGAGGATGGCTACTTTAGAACGGGTGATACCGTAACTGTTGTGGATGGTTATGTCAAGATTCTGGGAAGTACGTATGCAAATCCTAACTACGCTTTTAGTATCTCATAGCTAATCATATTGTGGATTTAAATTGTAATTCTTTTATACGATGCTTGTTCCTCGAATCAATTACGGAAAACACCCGCCTTCCTGACTTCATTTGATGTGTGTATTGCGGTCTCATGGAAGTGCTTATCTAGCATCATGACTTTTTCCTTCTTGATACAGGGACTAGTGTTGACATTGTTAAATCTGGGGGCTACAAGCTGTCTGCTCTTGAGATAGAGGCCGTTCTCCTGCAGGTATGAGCACTCTTATGTTGGTCCTGGGTTGGATGAGGACATTGTTTTTGTAACCAAGAGTGTTGAGACCTACTGTGCGTTGAAATTTTTGGCACATTGTCGTGTCCTCCCAAAATACTCTGTTGCAACGATATTCTATCTGAGGTGGACAAGTTGTTACCTTTGGAGCAGCATCCAGCTATTTCGGAGTGTGCAGTCATAGGTGTACCGGATAAAACCTACGGTGAAGTAATGACTGCAATAGTGGTAATTCATGAAAATGTGGCTGCTGAAGCATCTGCAAAGTCAGAGCCAGCTCTAACCTTGGACGCTTTTACGCCTTGGGCACGAGAAAGAATGGCCCCTTACAAGGTAGCGAAACTTTCTTGATATCACTGTATTCTATAATGTGATTTTAGCTGCGTAGGGCATGTGCTTCCAGTTCGTAATGTATGGTTGCTTAGCATGCGCTAATGAACGAAAATATTGTAATATCGAATATTCTCACTGGAAGCCATGCATATACAGATTCCATCACAACTTTTAGTGTGGGACGCGTTGCCTCTTAATGCCATGGGAAAGGTACGCCCTTCCATTTATTATGCGCTTATTCTGTTTGAATTAATGACAGTGTTTGCATGTTACGAGTTCGCAAGGTCAACTATTACCCTGTACACTGACTTCTCATAATTATTTGCTTTATGTTGTTCAAGTGTTGAACATCTGGTGAGTCATAGAAATCACTCCTACTCATGGGATCATCTGTGGGTTTTTTTTACAATACTTGCTTACAGGATGATGATTCCTTAATTTTAACTGTATTGTTGACGCTGATTTCTGTTATCTGGCAGGTGAACAAGAAGGAGTTGAAGGCTACTCTACTGAAGAACGCTGCTAATTAGTTAAAAATACTGCCGTGTTTGTGGAGTGGTACACAAACTATGGTTTATTCATCAGAGCAAACTACAGCTGTCCACATGTGTAGCAGTTTCTGTGTGATTATAGTATGTTCGAATTATACTTGTTGACCAGGGTGGCATTTATCAGTATTGTAATTGATTCACATTATCATCCAAGGCCTTCATTTATAAAGACAGCATCTTAATTCGTTTCTTTCAAATGTCAGGCATTCTGCTTTGTTGATACCTGGACTAGAGAATCCTCGATATCTCATACTATTATGAACGCCGGATAGGTATTTCAGGTTGATTGTAATTCTTACAAGGATTTAAGATGATGGACTAAACGATCTGTGAGCAGAGGCCACGGCTCTCGAATCACTTCAGCTGGAGAAGTAGTCACTCAAACCGTTGTCAATTATCGTTGTCCCTTCAGCTGTTGCATTTGCATTTGATTCACAAGCTAACTGCTGATCAAGACCATTTTCATTCATTTTATAAACCATTGGTTTAGCAATTGCGCCTTTGGACTCTCATGGAATTGGATAACAGCCTTCTTAACATCCGATTTTTTGGTTGGAGCTTGGAGTCATTTAGTTCTACAAAGGGGACTGTAGAACTAGATGATTTGATATAATTGTCAAATGTACATCCGTCTCATTAATGAGTAGCACGGTTCAGTATTCTTCTACATCAATCGGTTAATTTATCATTAACAGGTTCACAAAAGATTACTTTAAGTTAAAATCTTTGGTTTGTTTAAAAAGAATATAAGGATAAATAATAATAAGTTGAAGAAAAACAATTGGATTTTGAGTGGTTTTTGTAGATTTTTTTGGATATCAAAGATGTTTTGTATTTATGGATGAATTTTGTATTAGAAATATTATAGGCCATCTTCAAATTTTATAACAAATATGGTATATTTATTGTGTATAACATAAGCACTAAATAATTATTTGTATGAAATCTTTGATGAATTTTTTATATACAATGACTCCAAAAATTCTCTCAATGTTTTAAATTTGACTTATTTTATTTTTTTCTTGAAATGAAGCAAAAAATAAGTACTTCGTCCTATAAGTAAAGTTGTAAGTATATAATTCAAGAGTCTTTGCTACAAAGGATTTTAATGAAACAAATTTGTAAATGAAGCGTTCTTCATATATTTATGTGATGCTCATTGAGAAATTTTTTTTATTCCTTCCTTATTACTCATTGCAAAGACTATTGCAACCTCTATTGTTATTTATTGTCATACTACTTCATTTATTATCGCTATTCTTTTATTTCTTTAACTTTATAGAACATTGTTGTACTCTCCTATTTACACATATCTATCTTTATTAGTCCAACAATTGTAGTGTAGTCACTTACTTTGTTTCATTGTCACCATGCAAGTTGTTGCACAAGACCAAAAAAATACACTTGTACAACTACTTTCAATGTATAAGGTATTAATTCAACTTGGTATGAGCTCTTCAATAGTTGGTTGTATTAGCAAAAAGTGTATATTAAGATTTTTTGCAATCAAGGTGAGTTGACCATAAGTTTGGTTTGGTATTTATAAATAAAAAGTCTTGTGCAATATTATAATAAATAAGATAGCTACTGTAGTGGAAGCTTTTGCAAGCTTCACTTGAATAGCCTATATGATTGTCTATACTAATAAAATGTGTAATTTATTCAAATTAAACAAATTATAAGTAATACTAAAGATCAAGAAACACATACTATCACAATATCATTATTAAATACATTTGAACTTTTCCAACTGATTCAAGTATTGAATTATTAAAGATTGACAAAAATTAAGTGGTCTAACAAGACTAAAATAAATTGGTTATGATTGGATAGGGAAGTTTGGTGTTAGAAGCAAAAAAGAGAAGCATTGTTCAATCTTACTTGTTAAACAACCATCAAGCATGGTAGTAGTTTGCTTGTAATTTAAGGTTGCTTGACTGCCTAAGTATCAAGGACATATACATTTACCTCAATAATTACTTATGTGATTAGGTAGAAGTAGGTAAATATAGACTAATTTCATAAAGTCTATAAGTGAAGCTTCTTAGAAGCTATATAGACACAATTTTGACTTTAGATGTGTTTGTAGGTTGGAAACTGTCAAAGACAAGAACTCGATGAAAAAACAATTCAGACAAGTGAGCCTTCACTCAAAGAAAGATAACAAAATATAAATAAACAAGTATGTATATTGAAAGAGAAACTGGAATGGCTATTGCCAAAAGACAAGAAAACTAGAGACCCTTGAAACTAGACTAGAAGCAAGAAAGGAGTTGACAAGAGTGAAGAAGGCTTCACTCTTGTCTCTATATATACTATCTAACTAGAGGCTATGTGGCGACATTCTATAGGACCTCCAATATGTGTTGACTTTGTAGGACACATGCCTTGACTTACAAGGCAAGTTTTTCTACATATGGGCCACATAGTTAGCTTGATCTTCAAGCTAACAACATGTGTGGTACATGGCCAACTTGTTGACCACGTTTCTAATCCAAAAAATCAATTAAAGACACCTATGAAGTCAATGCAGCATCTATAAAGCTTCTAGGAAGCTTCCATATTAAATATTATAGAATAAACTTACTTTTACCTACTTTTATTTACTTCCACTTATTTGTATATGTAATTACTAGCTTACATGAGTATGTCTGTGACATTACCCCCCTTCTAGGGACGAGTTCCACGAGGAGCAGTCATCATATGTTGAGAAAATCTATGATGTGACGAATTGTATTTGCCACATACTCTGATCTTTGTTTTCTTTGAAGATGATTGATAGGGCCTCTCAACCATCGGTAGTTTCCCATACTAGGGCGGGAAGACCACCCAGTTATTTGATCATTGTTGAGGCCTTCATAACTTCCTTCGAATAAAACATTTGGAACACCATCAGGAGTTGTTCCTACCTCTAGCAAAATCACCAAACATCGGGAGTCCCTTCCCAAATCGTGATACCAAACGCGTTGTATCTCGCCATCTATTTGAGGAAGAACATGTCGTTCTTGAAGATCTTCATCTCGATTGCGTCATCTTGAAGGTTGTGACAATCATAATGTCTCGTCCGGCAGGTCAGCAAATGAAGGCTCTTAAGTCGAATCCGCTAGTTATTGGTTCTCCATCTCCTGAGCGTCACAACTACAAAGAAGTGACAAACAAGGATTGAAAGTAGAATGTTATCTTGCCTAGATGTTTCTTTTATAAAGAAGGTTTTCATCTTGATTTTGATGGATGTCATTGATGAAAAGCGTCCACTGCCTTTACTGCATTTACAAGATTCTTTATTGGCTCCCATGTGCATTCACTAATATCATATCCATGTCAATGGACAAGGTATTTTAATTTATTTCAGCGCCGCCTTGAATCTAAGACTTCTTCTACTTCAAACTCTTCATTATTATCCACTTGTATAGGAGGAGGTGGAACTTGTTGTCTTTTTGGTATGTCCACTGTCTTGTTTGGTTCAAGAAGAGACATGTGGAATACTAGATAGATTTTCATTCACTCTGGTAGATGTAAACGATATGCAATTGGATTGATTTATATAAAAATAGAAAATGGTCCCAGCCTTCGATAGTCCAACTTGTTACAAAGATGAGTGGTCTTGATATTACGATGAAGTAGCCATACCTTATCACCCAAGAGGAATGGTGGTTGTTCCTTTCGATAGACATATGCATTGACCTTTTGTTGTTCTTGAGCCTCTTTTAATTGTGCCTTCATCGTTGCATGTAGCTTTGATAAATAAATCGCCAAATCTTTTGCAGTAGGATTATCAACTTTTGAAAAGTCAAAAGTATCAAGTTGTGGATGATAACCATAATTAGTAAAGAAAGGTGTTTCTTTTGTAGAAGAATGTACCGTATTATTGTAAGCAAACTCTCTCAATGGCAAAAGAATTGTCCAATCATCTTGTTGGTAGTTAATGATACATCTTAAATATTGCTCCAAAACTTGATTAACACACTCTGTTTGTCCATCAGTTTGAGGATGGAATGCTGAAGATAGTTTTATATCCACTTTTAGAATCTTGAAAAGAGTTTGTCAAAATCTTGATACAAATTGAGTTCCCCTATCTGATATAATATCCTTGGATAATCCATGATAGCAATAGATATTGTCAAGAAAGAGCTTAGCTGTTTCTTCACCTGTGATAGATTTTGTACATGGTACAAAATGTGCCATCTTGGTAAAATGATCTACTATCACGAATATAGAGTCATAAGAACTTGAGATTGAAAGATCCATGATGAAGTCCATAGAAATAGAAGACCATGGTTATTTTGGAATGGATAATGGCTGAAGAAGTCCAAAAGGTCGATGACGAGGAGTTTTTGATCTTGAGCAAACATCACATGATTGTACAAAATCTTTGATTGCCTTCCACATTTGAGGTCACCAAAAATCCCAAGATATCAGCTCCAAAGTCTTATTATATCCAAAATATCTTGCTGTTGGGAAGTCGTGACGAGCTTGAAGAATATGTAAACATGCTTCTGCTTCTGGAACATATAGGTGTCCTTTGAAATAGAATAGGTTGTTCTTGAATTCAAATTTAGAGGGATCATGAGATTTAGAAGAATTATTCTTGATATCATGAATAAGAGGGTTTGAAGATATACTTAATTGGACTTGCTTAAGAAAAGTTAAATCAACAGTCAATGTTGATTTTATTGCTCGAAGATGAAATTGTTCTGGCTTCAAGAGAACCATTCTTTATTGCTCAAAAGCTGCATCTCTTTCTTTTGGTGCAAGATAAGAATGTCTAGACAAGGCATCAAACAAACCTTGTTTTTGTGGCCGATAACTGATGATGAACTTGAATCTTGATAAAGACATGCTCCAACGAGCTTGACGATGATTTAATATGCGTCCTAACATAAAATACTCAAGGTTCTTGTGATCTATATACATGGTGACTGGACTGGAAGCGCCTTCTAGATAATGATGCCATTCTTGAAAAGAATCTACAATTACAAGAAGTTCTTTGTCATGGATCTCATAATTGATTTCTGCTCCTGAGAATTTTCTTGAATGAAAGGCTACTGGATGAAGTTTTTCATCTATTCCCATTTGTGATAAAATTGTATCCAGAGCAAAGTCCGATGCATCTGTGTCCATAAAGAATGCTTTGGAACAATCAACGCGATACAAGATTGGTGCAGAAATAAATGCTATCTTCAAAGTTTCAAAAGCA